CAACCTGTCATTAACCTTTGGCCATGTCCAAACAAGTGATGGTCAACCAACACACCCAACCCATACGTTTCTGCTTCTTAGACAAAATTCTACTTAAATTAAGAGTTTAAAATCTTCCAAAGACTCCATGCCACAAAAAGTGATGCCAGCTCAGCTTTCTATTCACTCGAAGCCGAGAAAACATCTTGGTGTCTTCTTCTCAGCTCAGAGGAAACTGTTGATCGAATACATAAAATAAAATGTGTCGGTGCCAAGGTGGTTTTTGTTAAAGGTTCCCAATATAGGACTGACCATTTTTGCTTTCTTGGCTTTATAATACAACTTATACTTAAGAGCCAGTGTGGCGGGTGGGTTTGAGTGTTGGGCAATGACTCCAGGAGACCTGGGTTCGAATCCCTGCTCAGCCATGGAAGCCCACTGGGTGACCTTAGGCAAGTCACACTCTTTCCACCAAAGAGGACTCATACATACTTCTGAAAACCTAGGATAGAATTGATATATATAAGGATGAGCTTGAGGAGATATAATAGTTAACCACAGATGGGATCCACAGATGGGATCCATTGGGTCATTGGTGCCTCATTGAATCAATGAATCCACTCTGTTCAGAATTAGCAATCATGTTTAGGTCAGAATTTAAAGCAGGGGTGGGAATCCCAAAATGGCCCTCCCAAATATTATTGGACTCCAAATTCTAGCCACCCTGGCCAGAATAGCCAACAATGAGGGATGCTAGGAGTTGAAGTACAATGGCATCTCAGGGTGGCATGGTTCGCACCTCTGCTCTAAACTCATGCCTCAATGATGGGATTTGTAGTTTTGAGAGCTATTTAGCCTTCTCTGTTAGAAGGCTCTGGCACCCCACCAAACTACAAATCCCAGGATGCCATAGCATTCATGGTTAAAGTGGTGTCAAACTACAATATTTCTGCAGTGCAATGGTTTAATCCAATGGGTCTGTTTTAATTGGATTTAGCAACTGGATTTAGTTTTCTGTTACTCCGGTTCCGTTTCTGCAACCTGTGTCTCTGGTTACATAGGCCCCTGTTGCATTGGCTTGGAAAACGTCCCCTATGTCTCCCACCCCCATGCCCACAGTTTTTGCAAATCTAGTTCCACAACTGCTTAGGAGGAAGAGGGAGTAATGGGGGACAGCAATTAGAAGTGATGTAATTGTAAGTAAATTCTTGCAATGTAACTGACATGCCGTGCCAATGAACTGGCCTTGTTTTGGCAAAGGTTGTCTTGCTTGCCTGAGGTCTTTCCTGCAGCTTCCAATTTACTTTCCGCAACTCTAACCAGAGGCACACTTTTCTCCCCAACATCACATTTTGGAAAATCCCACACACTAGTTTCCTGTATTAACACAGAGTTGTGTTCTGAGCTCATTTCTCCAGTCCCCAGAAAATATGGACTCATTGTTCACCCAAGATTTTGAGGCACGCATTTGATCTGTTCTTGCCACACTGCAGAATTAATGCAGTTTGACACTGCTTTAACTGCCATGGCTCACTGCTATGGAATCCTGGGATTTGTAGTTGGTGGTGCCAGAGAAGGCTCTATAGCTTGCCAAACTACAGATCCCAGGATTCCGTAGCATCGAGCCATGGCAGTTCAAGCCTAGTGGCAACAATCTTCTGTCCCCCACCTGTTGAACTTTCTGCCAGTGATGCAACAGATCCAAACGGTCCCAGGGGAAGATCATCCACAGGATGCACTTGTTTGCCCAGTCTTTTACGGCTGACCGAGAAGAACCACACATCTTGCTTTTTCAAAACCTATGCCTATGTTTCGAACAATTTTCATACTGTGACTAGTTGCATTCTGTTTACATGTGGACTTTTTGTGTGTGTTTTAGCCGCACTGTTCTTGACTGAAATTGGAAGCTTTCCGGAGTCCTAGTTTTGGAGAAAAGATAGAAGGAAGAGATCCGAAAGAAGTGTTGATTTCTTGCTTGACCCTTCAGTGCCCAAAAAAACTTCCTGCTTCAAAATTGCCTTCTTCAGGTGAGTGTTATGAGTTCTCTCTCTTGACGTTTGTGGTTTATTTTTATTTTTTCCCAGTTGCCTGTCAAACCTTTTCTTTGCGGCAGCTGCCAAGGAACAATCTCCCACGGCCTTGGCAGCATGAATATTTGATAGGAGATGAAATATTAAGATGCATTTTATGAAATGCCCCACCCTTTGCTTTCCCTGTACTGGGCTTGTGTGTCTGTGTGCGTCGAGTGTTGGCAGAAGCAGAAACCCATTGGCGCTGATCTCTTTTGAACTCTTTGGAAACCCTTTCTTTGCTCCGCTCTTGTATTTTTATTTTAAATCCTTCCAAAAAAAAAAA